ATGGGTCGGTATCGACCTGGAAGGGTGCGGGCAGTGGGGTCCCGCAGGGCTCGGTCCTTGGACCGATACTCTTCAATATCTTCATCAGCGACTTGGACGAGGGAGTGAAGTGTACTCTGTCCAAGTTTGCGGATGACACAAAACTGTGGGGAGAAGTGGACACGCCGGAGGGCAGGGAACAGCTACAAGCAGACCTGGACAGGTTAGACATGTGGGCGGAAAACAACAGAATGCAGTTCAACAAGGAGAAATGCAAAGTGCTGCACCTAGGGAGAAAAAATGTCCAGCACACCTACTGCCTAGGGAATGACCTGCTTGGTGGCACAGAAGCGGAAAGGGATCTTGGAGTCCTAGTGGACTCCAAGATGAACATGAGTCGGCAGTGTGACGAAGCCATCAGAAAAGCTAATGGCACTTTATTGTGCATCAGCAGATGCATGACGAACAGATCCAAAGAGGTGATACTTCCCCTCTATCGGGCGCTGCTCAGACCACAGTTGGAATACTGCATGCAGTTTTGTGGTAAGCTGCCTTCGTAAAATGTAGTGCAGTCAGGAAATGAGCATGTAGTGTTGTTGGTATTAAGAGAGCCAGCATCAGAACAGGAAAGGCAGCAGGCTAAACAGCAGACTGTGAAAGTTATCTTGAACACAGAGCAGGAGAGTATTAAAATCAATAATAAGATCAGGTAAAGGAAAGAAAGAAGGAGAGGAAGCTGTGGCTGGCAGGCTGGCTGTTTCAAAGCAACTAGACTGTTGCATTTGTGCCAATAGTGGTTGTTATGTTGTTATTTATGAGCATACAAGGCATACAAGGCAGACTGTAACGCACAAGGCAGAAGGAACCTTGTCTGCCTATGTCCTTAGACCAACACGGCTACAACCTACACCCCTGCAAGGCAGAAGTAAGCACTTGTACATTGCACCCACCACCAGGAATTAAAACAAAATTCCGTTTATATATAGTTCATCATGCAATACCAATTACCCACATGGGCCAGGCATAGCACAGGGCTATCTGTAACAATGTGCTGTGTGTGCTTGGTAAGAATGACAATTCCTGGAGTATACAAAAGAGGCAGAATTTGGCATTTAAACAAGGAGGTGATATCCCAGGGTGAAAAGCTTGCAGGAAAAAGGTTGCTAGAGGATCACAAATGTGGAATGTGGATACACTCACATGAATGTGGATATACTCACATGAATATTATTATTTATGATATAATTTACTACAATGTAAAATTACTCCGGATTCCAACAAGCGTAAAAATTCTGGTCAGTAAGGAGTCACATTTTATGGATACTTTTTTATATCAATGTAACTGAATTCAAACCAGTATAAACAGCTTATGTAGAGAACCTCTATTTTGGGGGTGTTTTCTATTTGGTATTTAAAAATGGGGTTACCAAAAAACTGAACAGTGTTTTCACCGAGCTATTTTTACTGGCACCTGGATTTAACAATTACTTTTACGTATAGTGTTCTAAATTAATTCATTTTATTTTTGAATCAGTAGAAGGGTACATTAGAGATTCCTAAGGTTCTGTAATACCATTTTTAAATATCATTATATCACTAGTTACTGATATAAAGTATAAATCAACTGCTATTCCATAAAACTGGAGGGTAACCAGTGATATGATATTTAAAAATGGTGTTAAAGAGTCTTGGGAATTAAAACTTCTGTGGGCTACTTCAGTTATAGGAAAGTTAGCTGAAAAAGAAGTTATGAAACACACACATACACATTGGAAGCTCAGTATCTAAGAAGGCCTCATTTATTAAATGCTAAGTTATCCTTTCTGGTTAAGACTGACAAAGTTTTCTGGCTTCGAAATAAAATAACCACTTGATAATTGCTTTCACAGCATTCTTTGCCCCAGGAAGCATGGACCTAACCTCTAATCCCCTACATTGCACTGCAAGTAGACTGCTGTGCTAGCTTTAAATCTATATTAAAGACTCAACTCTAGCTGCTAATATTAGGTAATAATACAGTTTTCAACTTAACATTCCAATTTTAATAATAAAACTTAGGTTGAATGCACTTGAAAAAATCAGTCCCACAGACTCTGATGTTTAGCAGTGGTCTTGGATAGAAAAAAACAACATAAATTAATAATTGCTGAGTTGGAAAAGTTCCCTAGGTACAAGAAGACTACTTTTCATCACTTGTAATAATATACTTAATTCATACATTTTCATGACATTCAGGAGACCTATGCAAATAGCTAACATTCAGGCATGTGAAATTTAATATGCTTGTTAGTTCTCTTATTTTTTCTTTGGCTAAATCTCAGCACCACTGTCTAAGAATTAATTGAAGTGTTTTGCTTAGAGGCACAGCTCTGCACTTTGCCCTCTCAATCAACCTTTGATCTTTATGCTGTTTTAATAGGAAGAAAAACACTTTACAATCAAGACTTGTGAAGCCTTGTTCAGAGTTCTTGACTCTCTTGAATTGGGATTTAATAATAAAACGTCAGAAGGTTGCAGAATAATGCTATTTTTTTCCCCCAAAGTTTCTTCCCATTGCATTTTTACTGGCATTAGCAATAATGGGAGTGTCAGTTAAGATAACGCACCACAGCCTGCTGACATTTTTACTGATCTGGTGCCTAGAACTGCACTGAACAAGGTAAGATGAGATGCTAAATAAAAAGCCGTTGGCCCATCTATGCTCCTGACTATTGTTACCACCAATACAAATGCATCAAAGGTGCAATAAAAATAGTAGGACATTTTATAGGTTACAAATTAACAGACACAGCCTGTGTTTGCAGTCATTTGATCCAGGTGATCTTTTTCTATACATTTACTTTTGAAGTTAAAGTAAAATGTGGGATGAGGTCCTTAGCTAACAAGTATATAGTGCAGGATGGATGGCTTGGGGGGTATGCACAAGTGGTGTGCAATTCACTGTTGCACTCTTCAAATTTGGGCTAGCAGAGTGCTAGGCATGGTCCCCTGGCAATTGCATACATTCAAGAAGCCTGAACACTACTCTAAACTTGCTCATTTGCCAGCATCTCCAAAGCCTGAAGCAATGATGAAGCTAAGGAAAGCCCCAGCAGTGCCTTATGACAACAGCAGGGAAAACTTGGAAGCCATTATACCAGCTCTGTGCCCCTAATGATCCCCTCTACTGGCCTTACGGCCAGATTCTGCTGGTGATGCAGGGCCAACTGTTGCATCACATCAAAGACTAACTCATGACCTCTATGCTTATTTATTCAACATAATTTTAAATTACTCCAAATATGTTTTAACAGAGAAGTAACAAAGAATTAGTCATAACCACCAAAGCACCTTTCACTGCAATCTGATACTTAAATGACTGATTAAAAGCACTGTAGAATTCACACAGATCTTACCTTCCAGAATAATAACTCCTGTGTCGCATATGATTCGGACTGTTGTAAAAATCACAAGTACTGAAAATATGTAAGTACATATAGGGTCAGCAATCTTGTATTCTGGCTGCAAGGGACACATCAAGAGTTTGTAAGGAAATATAACAACAGACCCCTTGTAAAGACTTGCTCCAGTAACGTACAGTCCCTTTTACGTTCCAATTTAAGTCTATTTCAATCCAGATAACTCAGACTATTGCATAGTAGAGGTATAATTTTATTCATTTTCGATGAATGTCTAAAACTAAACAAACAATAGTTCTGTAACTAAAAAAAGTTCTTTTTTAATTTAAGGTAGGAGTTAACATCGGACTTATGCATGTTCACAAAAAAAAAGAAAAAGAAAAGAAAGAAGCAGTCCCTTACCTTGAAACGTATGATATAGGCTGCTATAAGTACACCAATACTTTGTACCAGGTCCCCAAGAGCATGTACAAATGCTGCTCTCACTGCAAGGCTGCTGGGTCCCTGGCTATTCCCAAGGGCTGTGTTAGGAGAGCTTGATGGAGGTACGTGGCTGTGTGAGTGTGAATGGGAATGAAGGTGACCTGACTGATTCAGCAGAAAACCCATTCTGAAAGAGAAAGGAAAAAAAAACAAACAAAAAAATGAGACATTTTTTCCAAGTCTTTTGACCAAAAACTGGAGAAAAGATAGAATGCATGATGCCCATTATTCCTCTGTCTTACTTTGTAGGAAGGAAGAGATCCAAAAACCATACTAGCATACAAATAAGATCACAGAGCAATTCAGACATACTCAATTTAAAAAAAAGGTACAGCACGCCATGAATTAATTGACACAGTGTACACTGCATTTTATAAATGTACTTAGCAGTCTTTAATGGACGGAGGAGAGAGCTTACATTAAGTTTACTGCCACGCCAACAGCTGCTGTAATAAGCATTATATCTCCATTAATTTCATAGTCCATATGGATAGTTCTTTGAACAGCTTCATATAACAGGAATGTCATCAGGATATATACCAGCAACACACTAATGATGGCTGACAATACTTCTGCAAACAAAAAGGGAACAACAACATTACAAGAGCGAGCTGCAAATCTACTTCCTATTTAAAAAAAATAATAATAATAACTTACAATGTGATCGTAATGTTGGAGTGATGTTGTAGCCATAATGGCCCGTGAAATACACAAGAAACAAGGCCTCTCACTTATACTGTTACATAGTGTAATGTTATACTTTGCTACTGTTAGGCAAACTAATTTATGATGGCACACCGTATATTATAAATCAAGCCAAAATTAGAATATGCAGTCAGCAAACAGAATGGCTTGTGCTGCTCAAATTGTGCACTTTCATGTCAATTATTCCTGGAAATAGGTTCCCCTGATCAGATCAAAACTTCTGAATAGGTTTGAGGGATTCCCACCTAGCTCAAATCTTTGCCTTACGCCTTTCAAGGTGAAGGCCCAATCCAACATGTCTGAAGACTGCAGCTGTAAAACCTGATTGACCTGTCTGTAAACTAGGCTTGTTTTTTAAAAGTAGACAATATAAACTACAGAATCATAGGAAAAAAAATCTCTGTGCCCAACAGTACAAAATCAAAATGCATAAGTTCTGGTGAACATTAAAACTCTCAGTATGAGAATGTGCACTATTTATTGTGCAGTCTGCTGATAAAGTGCTACCAAATATGAATCTGCAGTTGCTGTTAGAGTCTGCTGTTGCCTCTCATAAAATGAAGAGTATAATTAATATCGACTGAACTGCATTTTGGTCTTGGAATTTTAAATTACTGACAGGGCCTTCAGAGCTCCTGTCTGTAAGCGCTTTGCAGGTATTCCAAATCAACAGGATTAAAAAGCGAACATAAGAATCAAATCACCTTTCACCTTCTACAGTCATTCATGTCTGTGCAAAATAGGGTAGGACACAGTCATTCTGCTGTGGTGGCAATTTACGCCTCCTTGGCATTGGTTGTGAGAACAAACGGTACAAAGCAATGCAGTCTAGAAAACAAATGTCGTGATGTCATGCAAGACCTCTGAAGGTGCTCTTTCAGCTTTTGAAAGAAACTTGTTGTAACACATGAACCCTGCTGAAAGGCACAAGCCCCAGAGCATGAGGGCCCTTCTGGAAATTTCTGTGCTATGTAAAATCCTACCCTGTACACTCAAAGAATGCACTAAGCTTAGCTGCTCATAACAGGTTCAGTGAAAGAAACCCAGATTTGTCCAAGGCTGCAATGTATTTAGGGACACCATTCTGTCTTCTCTAAACTCTAACTGCGCTTAACCATTTTTGAGGGACTATTTTGTTGTAACTGGTGGCTTCAACACAGTTATTTCAATGCACATAAGCTCTTGGAGTAGATTTACAACCCAGGAGTCACGCACGAGGAAGATGCGCAAAGGGAAGAGTTTCCTTGCACCATGAGGCTAAAATGGCTCTGCAGCCCCTTTGTAGAGGCTGCTTCAGCAGGTTCAAATGCAGTTTCTCCCTCCAGAAGGGATGATGAGGAAAAACACCTATTCAGGACAGGAGTCCTGCTCCTCTTTGGAGTTCCTTTCAGTTTTTTGTACACCTACATAGATCCCTTACACTGAAAAATTACAGAGGTGCAGCTGCCTAGGAAAGGAGGAGGAACAATTAGCATTAAGTACACTAATTACTAGTACAATAATCCATACAAATGTGAGTTATCTTATAATGTGCATTTTACAAGATCCAGACTTGCAGTTCTCTGAATATTTGCATATTGTTAAAACTAAGCAATGAAAAAAGAAGTCCAGGAGAAAGGTTTGTTCTCTTAGGACAACTGTTCCTGTATTAGGAAACTAGTTTTAAACAGGGTTTTAAACTAATGGTTTCTGCTAATATAGTTGTTTGATTCTCAACAGTGCTATCTATGTACTAACCATGCAGTCTTCACAGTGCAAGCAGCAAAACTGTAGCAGCAATTACAATAAATTGAAAACCACTTTTTAACCAGTGGAAATTCTGGGGGAGAGAAACAATTTGACCCCAAACAAGTTGGGTATTTTTGAGACTCACATGTTCAACTAACTTTTTGCTGATTCCAAAGCAGGGTTCTAAAGCATTATACCCGAATTCCTGGAAGACCTCCCTGTGACCGGGCACCTTGAAAGGTTTGGAAACCCTGGACCTGGGAATGCTGGAAGTTGTGGAGCTCATTGAAAACTGATATTCTTGTTGGTTTCAATTCTACTGCAAAACAAGAATGGCAGTTTCACTGAGCAGCTGAGATTCGAGTTCAGGAGATAGTTCAAAAACTTGCCATTTCAGTCAGAACTGGACTGAAACAAAGAAAGTTACAAAGAACTGGAAAACCTTGACAAATTCCAAGTCTCAGTGGTCCAATTCCACTGCGCATTAGCGCAGCAGGCAAAACCCATGCTAACAGGCAGTAAAATTAGTCTACTGTGTATTAACGTCACAACAAAGGCATATGGCAGCACTAATGTGCAGTAGCGCCAATTACAGCACATTTAAGTTAGTACTATAATGCCATAACTACAGCGCAACAATGAACGTGTAGATGCACCCAGTGTCTTATCCCTGTCTGCCAGTCCTAGTCTCAGTCTTTTCTCCATGTTCCCTCCAGTTCCTTACCACCTCTGCATTCAATTCAGACACCTTGATACCGTCTTGGACTAGCAGGGAGTCACTGCGACTGGCTCCCTCCCTGGTTACATTAGAATATTTGAAGATTTTAGATAACATCTAAGAAGACTCTACTGAATATGTGCAAACTGTGACTTTTCGAAGGCTTATAACCTGGCCAGACAGCTGCAGGCCTATTCCTGACGGAAAGGCCTGCTACAAGCAAAATTTGAAATGCCTGCTTCAGCCCACCAGGAGCTTGGGGGATTATCGCCACTGCAAGCCCACTAGGCAACCCTTGTAAATCCAGCAGGCTAAGGCACATAAGGGAACCCACCCCTACCCTAGCCCCGGAATGATCTGTAGGGAAGGCAAGGGCCCTCCAGTGGGACACATACTGCCTGTACACCAATGCCAGGAGCTTGAGGAATACGCAGGAGGAACTGGTCCTCCTATTAACCAAGAATGACTACGACCTCATAGGGATAACAGAGACTCCATCTATGACTAGACCACAGATATAGATGGCTATATCCTGTAGAGGCGAGATCATGCAGATAAAAGGGGTGGGGGCATAGCTCTCTCTGTCAAGGACAGTTACACGTCCCGCCAAATTTACAATGCCTGACCAATCTAGTCTCTTTTTATAACCAGGTTACGAAACGCCTGGACACAGGAGGAGGGGTGGATGTCGTATACTTAGACTTCAGGAAGGCCTTCGATACGGTATCCCACCCCATACTGGTGAACAATTTAAGAGGCTGTGACTTGGATGAATACACAGTCTGGTGGGTGGCGAATTGGCTAGAGGGTCGCACCCAGAGAGTCATGGTAGATGGGTCGGTTTCGACCTGGAAGGGTGTGGGCAGTGGGGTCCCGCAGGGCTCGGTCCTTGGACCGATACTCTTTAATGTCTTCATCAGTGACTTGGACGAGGGAGTGAAATGTACTCTGTCCAAGTTTGCAGATGACACAAAGCTATGGGGA